TGAACTCTGGGCCTGGGCGCTGTCCCTCAGCTCTTCAGCTCAAGGCTAGCGCTCTACCACTTGAGCCACAGCGCCACTTCTGGCTTTTTTTCTTTTTGCTTATGTGGTGCTGGAGAATCGAACCCAGGGCCTCAGGGATGCAAGGCAAGTGCTCTACCACTGAGCCACCTTCCCAGCCCCCACTTCTGACTTTTTCTACTTAATTGGAGAATACAAATCTCATGGACTTTCTTGCCCGGGCTGGCTTTGAAGTGCGATCCTCAGATCTCAGCCTTCTGAGTAGCTAGGATTACAGACATGAGCCACGGGTACCCAGCCAGAATGGAATCTTGTAGCCCAGGACATCTCCCCATTCCTGCTCCTATTTAACGCCTCCACTGAGCACGAGGATCAAGGAGAATACTGTGGCTCAGCGTGGGGAAGGCCTTCCGCCTGGTTCCCACACTCAGGGAATCTGAGGCAGGCTGGGATCAGAGCCCAGAGGTCCCAGGAGGCTGCTCTAAGACACAGCCTGGTGGGCGGAGATAGGATGGAGGTTTTCTGGAGCCTGTGGCTGGAGACCGTGGCTCAGGGCCTGCGCTGTTGCTGTGCTGCGCCTTCCTCCCCACAGTGTTCCCCGAGAAGCCCATCACCCTGCAGGAGGAGTGGAAGGCGCGGCAGCTCCAGCGGGTCCTGGACATGAAGGGCAACCCGGTGCAGGGCCTGGCCTCCCGCTGGGACTACGACCGGAAGGAGTGGAAGAAGTGACTTGGTCTGCATTTCCAGCAGCTCCCTGCAAGGCCTCCCTGGGCTGGAGCATCCAGTGCCCCCTTCTCCATACCAATAAAAACTGTTGGCTTCCATCTTTAATATCGCTCTTGGACTCTTCTTGGGACCTCAAATTAGGCACTGTAGGAGGTGGGGGCAAGAGCAAGCACATTGCAGGGCTCAGAGCCCAGCTGGTCATGGAGGGCGTCCTGCAGGTGGAGGAACTGGCAACAAGCCTTACATGGGGCTGGGAAAGGAAGGAGAAGAAAAAAAAAATTGCAAAGTGGCAAAGGCAAGGAGCCCCATGGTCACCCCTCCCCCCCATATTCAGTCAATTGACAAATAACTGTTGAGCATCTATTGTGTACCGGGCATTAATCAGTCCTAGGAATGCAATGGAGAACAAGACAAAGTCCTTGGCTTCAAAGAGGAGATAGAAAAGTGAATAGGGGCTAGGAAGGTGGCTCAGTGGTAGAGCACTTGCCTTGCATGCATGAGGCCCTGGGTTTGATTCCTCAGCACTACATAAGCAAAAAGAAAAAAGCCGGAAGTGGCACTGTGGCTCAAGTGGTAGAGCGCTAGTAAGAGCTGAGGGACAGCGCCCAGGCCCAGAGTTCAGGCCCCATGACCAGACCCTCCCCCAAAAAGTGAATAAACAACTATAATAAAGAATTAAGATGTTGGGTGCCAGTAGCTCACATCTGTAATTCTAGCAATTCAGGAGATAGATCTGAGGATCATGGTTTGAAGCCAACCTGTGCAGGAAAGTCTGTAAGACTTTTTTTTTTTGCCAGTCCTGGGGATTGAACTCAGGGCTTGGGCACTGTCCCTGAGCTTTTGCTCAAGGCTAGCTAGCACTCTACTACTTGAGTCACAGCACCAATTCTGGCCTTTTATGTTTATGTGGTAGTGAGGATTGAACCCAGGGCTTCATGCATGCTAGGCAAGCACTCTACCACTAAACCACATTGCGGGCCGGTCTGTGAGACTCTTATCTCCAACTAACCACTCAAAAACTGGAAGTGTCACTGTGGCTCAAGCGGCAGAGTGCTAACCTTATAAAATTTCTCAGGGACAGTGCCCAAGCCCTGAGTTCAAGCCACACATCTGACAAAATGTACTGTACCTGCCAGGCGCCGGTGGCTCATACCTATAATCCTAGCTACTCAAGAGGTTGAGAGCTGAAGATCACAGTTCAAAACCAGACTGGGCAGGAAACTCCATGAGACTCTCATCTCCAATAAACTACTTAGAAAACTGGAAGTGGCGCTGTGGCTCAAGTGGTAAGAATGCTCACCTTGAGCTGAAGAGTTGAGGGATAGTGCCCGGGCCCAGAGTTCAAGCCCCACGACCAACAAAACAATACAAAAACAAAAACAAAATGTACTCTACCTGACTTATGTAACTGTAACCCATTTGTACATCACCTTTACAATAACAAACAAAAAAAATTTTTTTAAAGGGCTAACACTTGGGGTTGGAATTTATGGCTTAGTTGGTAGAGTGCTATCCAATGAGCAAAAAGGGTCAAGAACCTAGTTTGGGTCTTGGTCTCAGACCAAAGAAAGGAAAGAAAAGAAAAAGAATCTGGGCATACTCCTGATACAGTAAACTCAAAGAACTCCACAGCAACTCCCCCACCCCCCACCCCGCCCGCAGGTCTTTGGCCTTGAATTCATGGTCTGGACACTGTCCCTGAGATTTTTGGTCAATGCTGGTGCTCTATCACTTGAGTCACAGCTCCATTTCCAGCCTGTTTGGTAGCTTATTGGATATATACTTACAGACTTTCTTGCTCTGGTTGGCCTTAGAACCATGATTCTAGAGATTTTAATTTTCGCAGGCAAAATGAGTACTATGCAATGTTATCTCATAGAAAAATGTTACAGTCTTGGTCTCAGGAGGGGAGGATGGGCTTTTATAGAAAAACTCAGCCAAAGAGCTTCCGAATGTATGTGCTGAACCATTACTTTGGGCCAAATGGTGGCCTTGGGTCTCTTATTTCCTGATGTGCTGGTGTCACTCTCCAGAGTTGTATTCCTTGCTGTCTGGAAAGCTCCTTCCCCCCTGCGCTCAGGGAGAGATAAGGAGAGAAGCATGCTGACCTCGCCTGGATATTTAGTTCTTAGGGGTTCTTACAGGCTGGGAAGATCCAAAACACAACACTAACATCTAATCAGCACCTAATAAGAGCCTGGCCAGTGGAGGTGGAGCCCCCCCCCCATTCCTTCAAGTAGCTTTCTTTCTTTCTTTTTTGCCAGTCCTAGGGCTTGAACTCAGGGCCTGGGCACTGTCCCTGAGCTGCTTTTGCTCAAGGCTAGCACTCTATCACTTGAGCTACAATTGTACTTCTGCCTTTTTCTATTTATGTAGTACTGAGGACTCAAACCCAGGGCTTCATGCATGCTAGGCAAGTATTCTACCACTGAGCCACCTTCCCAGCCCCAGGTAACTTTCTGTCCTACCAACTTCTCTCCCTCTTTCCAGGACTCTGGTACCTAAAGTCCTGTTTATTTTTTTCAGCCTAGTTTATGTGGTGATCAAGTCGTACAATTTCTTCTGTTGTTTTTGCTCATCATGGGGCTTGAACTCTGGGCCTGGGCACTGTCCCTAAGCTCTTTAGCTCAAGGCTAGCACTTTACCACTTTGAGCCACAGCACCACTTTTGGTTTTCTGGTGGTTTATTGGAGATAAGAGTCTCACAGACTTTCCTGTCCGGGCTGGCTATGAACCATGATTCTCATATCTCAGCCTCCTGAGTAGCTGGGATTACAGGTGTGAGCCACCAGCGCTGGATAGATCATTTCTGGCTTTTTATATTTATGTGGTACTGAGGTATTGAACTCAGGGCATCATACATGCTAGGCAAGCACTCTACCACTGAGCCACATTCCCAGCCCTGTCTCCTTTTCAAAGTTTTGCTATGATTGTTTTATATAAAATGTCAAAGTTTCACTTAGCAGGAGAATTATAAATTATATCTATTCTGTCTTCCTGGATATGGGAGAGCTCAGTTGTTTATTCTACTTTTCTTTTTTGTCTTTCTTTCCTTCTTTCCTTCCTTTCTTCCTTTCCTCCCTCCCTCCCTCTCTCTGTCCTTCCTTCCTTCCTTTTCTTTTTTCTTTTCTTTTCTTTCTTCCTTTCTTCTTTTTGTTGGTCATGGGCTTGAACTCGGCCTGGGCACTGTCTCTGAGCTCTTCAGCTCAAGGCAAGCACTCTACCACTTGAGCCACAGCGCCACTTCCGGTTTTCTGGTGGTTAATTGGAGATAAGAGTCTCATGGACATTCCTGCCTGGGCTGGCTTTGAACTGTGATCCTCAGATCTCAGCCTCCTGAGTAGCTAGGATTACAGGCATGAGCCACTGGTGCCCAGCTCCTACTTTTCTTTTGAAAGCAGGATCTCACTTCACAACCCAGCCTAGCCTTGAACTTGTTATCCTCTTGCCTCTCCCCCACCATCCCCCCCACCCTGACCTTTCTGGGATTATAGGTATGTTCCTCCAGGCCAGTCTATTTTACACACACACACACACACACACACACACACACACCTGTTTCATTTGTCTTGAGCACTCTCCCTGAGTTGGTATTTTAGGGGTTGTTTTCCAGTGTCTCAGTATGGTCCCCTCTGTCCCTGTACTTTTTTTTTCTTTTTGTCAGTGATGGGCCTGAACTCGGCTTGGGCACTGTCCCTCAGCTCTTCAGCTCAAGGCTAGGGCTCTACTACTTGAGCCACAGCACCACTTCTGGCTTTTTCTGCTTATATGGTGCTGAGGAATCAAACCCAGGGCCTCATGCATACAAGGCAAGCACTCTACCACTGAGCCACCTTCCCAACCCATGTCACTGTATTTTTGTAGATGGTGGATGCACTGAGAAGCTTGGTTGCACTCATTTTATTCTCTAGCAAAGATGTTCATGGGATACTGTGCTTTCTCCAGGGAGCTCAGAGTGTCTGGGGTTCCTCATGAACCAGCAGCAGTTTTTGCTGGTCTTTGTGTGGACTCATTAACTTATTAGGCAGATAGCTTTCAAGACCATAAAAGATGCTAGCCTCTATTAAACTGTTCAAAAGGAAAGCTTACAGTAAGAAGACTGTTTTTGTTTTTTTTTTCACCCCCAGAGTGACAAAGATCAAAGAATGAACTAATGACAGTGAACATTGCTGTTGGCAGGAGTGCTGGAGACACAATATCACAGGGCACCAGATTCATCAATATCCATTGAAATCACCAGCTCATGTCCCCTTTGGCCCAGTGATGGTATATCTAGGAATTTGTCCTGTGGACACACACACACACACACACACACACACACACACACACACACACATTTTCTTGATCAATTCTTCTGCTGAGGGGCATCTGGGTTGAGTCTATGTCTTGACTACGGTAAACAATCGTTCAATGAACTTGGTTGTGCTGGTAGCTTTAGTGTGTTCTTGTTTGTGGTCTATTAGACAAATGCCCAGGAGTGGAATTGCTTAGTCATAGGAAAGCTCTGTGTTTAGTCTTTTGAGGCACTTCAATATTGCTTTCCAGAGTGGTTGAACAAGTTTTCATTCCCGTTAACATTGTAGTAGAATTCCCTTTTAGCTGTATCTACTATTGTTAGCTTTCTTGATAATGGCCATTCTAACTGGGGTAAGGTAGAATCTCAATGTTGTTTTTATTTGTATTTCTTTTTTTATTTTTGTTTTAGTTTTTTGTCGGTCATGGGGCTTGAACTCTAGGCCTGAGCGCTGTCCCTCAGCTCTTCAGCTCAAGGCTAGCACTCTACCAGTTGAGCTACAGCGCCACTTCCTATTTGTATTTCTTTTATGGTCAGAAATGTTGAACATTTCTTCCTTTGTCTATTGGCCATTCTTACTTCTTCTGAGAAGTCTCTCTTCTCTCTTTAGGAAATGGAAAGACTTGGAAAAAGTATATTGAGAAGTAAGCCCAAAGAAACATAGGTTACATGTTTTCTCTCATTTGTTGTAGTTAGAAAGGGCCTATAAATCTACAAGTAACCATAGTGGATAGTAAAACA